TATTACTCAAATATTCGTTCCAATGAATCAATAACTTAATCACTTATGTACCAAAATTATTGAATCATGAATGATTATTGAGGTGGAAATTCATATACTAGTTTTTGATGAATCACCGTAACTTGTCAAAAATGTCCCACTACCACATCAGTTTTTTATTTTTATTTTTCTCTATCTTTCTCGACCAGCAACGCACGGAAACCTTATCTTTTTCAACACATTCAATTAAAAAAAATACAAAACAATAAAGGTAAAATCTTAATTAGCAATAGAGTTACCGCCGATAACACTTCCTTTTCAACGGGTTGTTTAATTGGTTTCATTTATCCACTTCATCCTCTCTCTCTCTCTCTCTCTCTCTACTTTCTCTTTTTCATTTTCTCTTATACCATATGTTTTAAGACTTATACCTTAATTGTTTTGTATTTTTTCTAATGAATAGGTTGAGAATGATAAGATTTCCGTGTATTGTGGATTGAGAAAAAAAAAAAGACAAAAACTGACGTAACAATGGGTTTAGGGCCTGGGATCCTTAGGCACATTAGTTTTCCATTAACTTTTATTCAATAAAACATTGTCAAAAGATTAACCTTTTGAAAAAAATTATTTTTAAATTAACTAATTTATCATTTATCTATCTTAAATGTTTTATAAATCCGCTTATATAATTTATCATATTTTAAAACATGTCATATTTCTAGAAATATAAAAACCGATAAATCTTTTGCGTTTATAGTTGTAAAATAAAAGAAACGAACAAATATTATATGACTGCGTAAAAAATGACGTTCAACAATATGGTATCAAAAATATATACAATAATATAAAATAATATATATAAAAGATTAATCTTTTTTATAATTAATAAAATATATACCCTAATTATAAGCTTAGACCATATTCAACACACTTTCATTTTTTCTCCTAACAATGGAGTAAAAAATAGGGTAAATATTGTTTCATCTCCAACCTTATTATATTTTTACCCTATTTTTACCCCCCAAAAGTATATTCCATCCTTATAATTTATATAAATTGTCAAAACACACCCTTCTATTAATTTGTTTTTAACAAATATATAATCTATATTTTTTTTCATTACAATAATATTAAGTAAATAAGATTATATTTATAATACGTAATTATAAGCTTTTGTAAAATACGTTGTTGTGTTTTAAAATTTCAATATGTATATAAGTTTTAATATGAATTTAATAAACAAAAAACCAGCTTTATATTTATAATTAATTAATATAATTTAATATATTACATAATATTATAAGTATTAAATATTACATTTAAATAATAATTAATAGATAAAAAAAACCAGAAATATATAAGTATATAAAATGAGGAATTAAACCGACAACTCAAAGTTTATCCTCATTTTGGGTGAAATAAATAGTATAAGACCATATTTAATTTGTCGTCGTGTTATACTATGAATTTCAATGGGATATGGTTTGAAAGATATAAGGGAAAAAATAGAGGAAAAAAAAAAAAAAAAAGAGGGAATTGAAAATGCTCTTAGTTTTTATTTTTATTTTTCATACATAACAACTTAAACAAACATTAGCCTTAGCCAAACATCAAGTTTTTCCAATGTAGCCTACTATCCTTTATCATTTTGAATTTTGAAAGGTTGTGGTGTGCATTATCTAAATCACCCAAATCTATGAACCTAACGTCCGTTCAGTTGAAATAAAGATATGAGAGCATTAAATACTGCAGTTGCCAGCAATCAGCATACATACAACGTACCCTTCTTGGCTTCTTCATTTCACGTGTCCATGCTTCATCCTCACATTCGTAACTTCAATGCGTTTTCTTCTCCACTTATCGTCTCATTCTCAATATATATACGTAATATATTATTTATATTTTTAAACATCAAACTTTCTGGTTACTTTTATGATATGCTAGTAGTGGTTGAAGATGCCCTCAAACATTATTATATAAATAGAGTACGTGGACAATTATTAGCCTATGCCAAGTGCAATAAATAAATATGTCCTCTTTTGTAACAAAAAGTAGCTATCATATTGACGTGAACATAGAATATCTAACATCTTTACAGGATTCCATGTTACATGTCAGTATTTCATTTAAGTTATGGATGTAAAATCTTTTACTGTTTACATTTCACCAAATTTTGATAAAACAATCATTACAGTTTTCTTTTTTTCAAATGGATCTTGAATTACAGCAAAAAAATAATTCAAGAGTGGGGCCCATGCTCTCAAGAGCCCAATGTACGAAATGAAGGTGGCCATTGCTTTTGGCCTTTGGTAGGTATGTATATGATCACACCCTTTTATCCATCCTCACCCACCTGTCAAATTCAATAAATACCAATTTTTTCACTCATTTCCGGATGACTGAACGCCCAACACCGTCGAGCGCCACCACCACCTCCTCTGTCAACTCAATTTCCAACCTTATCTTCACGGCGTAATCATCGGCTGCCTCAACTAATCGGAAGCATAATTTACGGAAGTATGTAAGTCTCTCTTTGGTCCTATCTGCGTAATATACGTGCTGATTTTAATTTGATTTGAGCTTTATTGTCGATTGATTCCGGCTTTGAACGTCGAACCTTTATCTGATTTTAGAATAGATTTCTCACACCTTCATGTTTAACAAATCGATGCTATTAATCGTCTACATCACTCGAATGCTATGTTATTATCACTATTTTATTAGATTATAATGATTGCTAGTTTTCGAACCTGCTCGTTTATCGATTCGACGTTCTTCACCTTCTAAATCACTCGAACTATGTGTTCATTTTCACACCTGCACCTTTAACGAGTCCACGTTCTTCACCGTTTAGCAACACATATGATGTGTGCGTGTATTGCGAACAGAACATTCGCAGTTTCTGTGATGATAATTAATAAGTCGATAACACTGTTTATTGAGCTTGAGACTGAATTCGGAATTTCGATGACTTGTACCTTGTGGAGTTGTGCTCTAAGGTTTATCCGTGTACAACCAAATTTGCATAGAGTAGATGCACATCTTGTTCCCTAGTTTAACTTTTATGGAAATCGGTATTCTGTGTGTGTGGTTTTTGATTTCTGAAACAGAGAAAACAAAGATGATGACTAGAAGGTGGTTTACAACCGCACTAAACACGTGCACTTGCCCAGTATGACTATCCAGCTTAAAAGTTTAGCACGTGTCAATTTTTGCATCAATAAAAAACTGCTTCCGGGACTTTCTTGATTAAAAAATTTGCTATTGGTGACAAATCTTATTGAATTTATTTTTTGTAAGGAATTTTGTCTTTGTCATCCAAGATTCCAAGGTATATCTGAATTTGACAGTTCAATGTTTGATCGTTAAAATAATATATAGTAGGTGAATTTTTTATTTTAATAAACCTGAATTGTGTGAATAATGAATATACACAGAATCTAAGTTTAATTTCATATAAATAATTAAATATCCTTCTACTTTTTATTTTTATATTTTTTAACTGGTGGAATCTAAATAACGTCTATAGTACTAACGAAAGGGATGAGACCTTTTATTAAGCTGTAAAGTCCCTTTCCATTCTGAATATTCATTTTTGTTTTCTTTTTAATATTATATTATTTTAATCTTTACACATACGGCGTACATGCTAGCTATACATCTGACCAACTTTTTAGGCACAAAACTGAAAAAGTTTTAAAATAACTTTTTGGGATGTTTTTGTCCTATCATATCATAAAAAGTTCACTTTATTTATTAAAAATACAAGAAGGAATTCAATTATGATATTTTATTATTCACATATTAAGAAATTTGGATTTATATGAATTTTTGCCTTCCATCCTAAAGACTTGAATGACGCGTTTATGGATTTAAGTTTACCAAAGTGTTCTTTGTTATTGAGCACAATATATCTTTTAGACATTTTTTTCATACTATTTATCTATTTTGCGACTGTTTCTATTTACCTTTTATTTATTGGTTTCTTTCTAGAAAAAAGACTTATTTCATTTTTGTTACCACACACATCTCTAACAACAAATAACTCTTATTTCACAAGTTTTATAAAATGAACCAATATGAAAACTGAAAAGTAACTGTGATGATGCCATGATGGGTATTATAGTCATTATGATGTAGTATCGATGTGTTGCTATCGTTACGTCTTTTCTTGCATCTTTTCCTGGATAGTGCTAGAGTACTGGTCAATGACCTGCTTTGACCAATGAGAATTTTTGTTCTTTTCTGTTGAACATTTTGGGGTAGTAATTTGTCATTTACTAGAAGGTAGTATGGGAATCAGTATATAATTTTAGATGTATTAGCCAATTTGATAGTGTAAACAAATTTGACAGACATATATATTTATTTTCTGAAGTCTTTTGACAAGCACAAACATGACCAATATGATATGGACAAGTAATTGGCATGACAAAAAAAATTCAGACACTAGAATTTTTTTAGCCAAATTTGGGAATGATATTTTACAGGTGGGTTGTCTTTATAGTGATTTGGCTACTCATGTTTAGTTTTAATTTGAAAAAGCAAGATTCTTTTAAAACAGTACACTACTGTTATGTTATGAAAGGATATGTACCTTAGTTGTTAATAGTTACAACACTTTCTTGATTAAAAAGTCATTTTGAAAGGTCCTATAATATATTATAGGTGAGGCCTCATTACAAACTAAATATAATACTATATTATTATATTTACTTATTGGTTTAATTTATGATATTATTTTATAAATAATGATATATTTAAAAAAATATTCAATTCATGATTAAATTAAAGTTAAAAATATAACGCATTGATAACTTAGCAATGATGTTTGATTGATAAATATGTATGTTTTAAATTTTGATTATTAAGAAATAATAACCTTGTAAAAAATCAGTTGATAAAAACTTAAAAAAAAAAAGCTTGTTGGGTAACATATTTATTTATATGGTAGTGGATTTTAATTTTAAGATGGATAGAACTCAAATAGTCTAATGCTTTTGTAGTTGATTTCAAGAACCATGAATCATGATATTCAAGCAAAACTACTTAGACGTGAAGAAGAAGAAGAAGAAGAAGAAGGTGACTTGAAAGGAAGAATATGGGATGAATCCCGAAAGATTTGGAGGGTTGCATTGCCAGGTGTCATATCAAGAGTTTGCGCATTTGGAACGGTTATCGTCACACAATCATTCATCGGCCACATCAGCGACTTAGATCTTGCTGGTTATGCCCTTGTCCAAACTCTTAGTGTCCGATTCGTCAATGGCATCCTTGTAAGTTTGTTCTTTAGTTATTTTTTAGTAAATTATATGTTTCCGTTAAATCTCACCAAATGCAGTACAACCTGTTCTGTTCTGTAATCATTCCATGCATCTGTAGTTAGGAATGTCGAGTGCAACCGAAACTCTGTGTGGTCAAGCCTTTGGAGCCGGTCAACACCACATGATGGGCATCTACCTACAACGATCCTGGATCGTTGATTTAATCACTCTAACCGTCCTCCTCCCGATCTTCATCTTCGCTACACAAATCTTCAAATTTTTAGGCGAAGACGAATCCGTATCAAACAGTAGCGGATACATTTCTCTATGGTTCATCCCTTTCGTTTACAATTTTGTGTTTAGTCTCACAATACAAATGTACCTTCAAGCACAGTTGAAGAACATGGTGATTGCATGGCTTTCGATTTTTCAATTCGGGATTCATATCCCTCTGTCGTTGCTTTTCGTGTATAAGTTGAACCTTGGAGTTGGTGGGGCCATGATTGCTTTGTCTATGTCCTCGTGGTTTCTTGTGATTGGAGAGTTTGTTTATATATTTGGTGGTTGGTGTCCGTATTCTTGGAGGGGGTTTACATCGGCTGCTTTTAAGGATCTGTTACCTGTTGTGAAGCTCTCGATATCTTCCGGTGTTATGGTCTGGTAATTAATCAGGAACAACCTTGTCTTTTCTACCGCTTCTGAAAAAATATGTGTTTTTGTTGTCAATAAAACTAAGTGACTTTTTTTTTTTTTGTATTTTTTAGCTTGGAGTTATGGTACAATGCTGTGCTGGTCTTGCTAGCGGGGTACATGGCAAATGCAGAAGTCGCGATATCCGCCTTCTCGATATGGTATCAAAATTGTTTTTTTTTTTTTTTATTTTTTATTTTTTATTTATAATTATATTTTGCTTTGATATGTGTTTCAGTTCTATCTTTTCTTAGAAATTTGCTGATGTGTTGAAATTTTGCAGCCTGAACATTAATGCGTGGGAGTTCATGATCAGCCTCGGTTTCTTAGGTGCTGCATGGTATGTATGTAACATATCAAATCATTCACAACGTTCATTTAGACATGGTTGAACAAACTTTCTAGGGCTATTTTCGATGACAAAAATGAGAAGGGTGTTTACGTCTTTTACATAAACAAGAAATCAAGAGTTGATCAGTTGCAATTTTTTGTCTTTATTGAGAATTAAACTAATGAATGCTAAACACAATACAACATGGTCCTTAAAATTCATGTTTTTTTTTTTTTTTTTGTCTTTGTACATTATACATGTGTAACTGATGAACATTGAATATGCAGCGTCCGTGTTGCAAATGAATTAGGGAGAGGAAATGCGAAAGCAGCAAAGTTCTCGATTAAAGTGTTGTTGGGCACTTCTATTGCAATCGGAGTCTTTTTCTTCGTTGTTTGCTTAATTTTCAGAAAGAAACTGGCCTACTTGTTTACAGACGATGAAAGAGTCGCAGATACAGTATCAGACCTTTCTTTGCTCCTTTCTTTCTCGGTTTTACTCAACAGCATTTACCCGGTTCTCTCAGGTAATTAAATCACTTTTCTACTCTGTACTTTCACATGATGCTGTTAGGGGTTCGCTGATATGAATTATTTTTGTTTTCAGGGGTGGCGGTTGGAGCGGGAATGCAGGGTACAGTAGCGATAGTGAACCTTGTTTGCTTCTATGTGATTGGTATTCCAATGGGAGCTTTGCTGGGTTACATGACTAACCTCCAAGTAAAGGTATGCTGTATACATTATACAAACAGGACTTTTTTCCAAATATGGCTTCATGAGTTATGACAATTAATGATTGGGTAATGTGAGCAGGGTATATGGATTGGAATGATCGGTGGTGTTGTCACACAAACACTTGCGCTTGTGTATATGGCATGGGCAACCGATTGGGATGATCAGGTAATTTAATAAAAAAAATCTCGATTTCTTGGTGTTTTTATTATTGGCATTAAATATAAGTTTTAATTTGGGTGTATGTTGTAGGTTAAGAGGGCTTCGGAGAGGCTAAATCGATTTTACGTGAAGGCGTCTGATAATGATAATCAGGAGCAAATTCGTTAGAAAAAGTATAGTTTAAATTTTTTGGTAATAAATGTAATGTAACTTGATTCTGAAGTAGGTGTAGGTGTTGTTAAATGAATCGGTTATTTGTCTCATCATCATCCACTGCTGCTTTCATTTATCTGGTTTAAAATATATAATATAAATCAAGAATTGAAAGAATTCATTTAAAATAGCACTGCTCAAGAAATAGCCCAATGCATTTAAAATTAGATTCAAAAAAAAAAAAAAAAAAAAACAATCCCATTCTTTTTTTGAAGGGTAAATTACACGGATGGTCCCTGTGGTTTGGGGTAACCTGCGCGCCTAGTCCCTGAGCAAGATTTTTAACTCGGATGATTCGTAATGGTAAAATTCATAACCATCCTGGTCCCTCACTTAACATCCCGTCTAATTGCTCCGTTAAAACACCCCACGTGCAAGGCACGCAGGGGTATTTTTGTCTTTTTAAGTCACCCTGTCTTCTTTAAACATGGTTTATTTGTCTTCTTCCCCCATTTCTTTCTCAATCGCAGTCTTCTCCTCCCACCTTTCTTCTCACAGCCGATCAAACATGGTGAAATGCAATTGTGGTGCGATAGGCGTTATACGTACTTCAACTACGAAAAGAAACCCAGGTAGGGCATTTTATGCTTGCCCATTAGAGGTACGATGCTGGAATTGTTTTGGGGGATTTTCTATTGTAACCCTAGTATGCGTATGTGCTAATCGAAGCTATTCACAGTACAGGGACCAAGGTCTGGCTTTATTAAGTGGGTAGATGAAGAAAAGCATGGTCATGAGGCGGAAATAAAAAATGAGGGGCTTGAAATCCAAATTCAAGAACTTGAGGTCCAAAATCGGAATCTGAAGGCATTGTTAATAATCAGTTGGTTTTTGTTTTTTGGGATAGTTGTTTACAAGTTGTAGTGTTAGTTTTATGTTAATAATCAGTTGGTTTTTGTTTTTTGGGATAGTTGTTTACAAGTTGTAGTGTTAGTTTTAAGATCAACAGAAGTAGTTGTAGTTGTTTACAATGCCTTGTAATGAAACTTATTTGTATCAAGGGTACCCTTTTATCAATGAAAATGATATTTTGTTGAACTTGATTGTATTTTACAATTTGTGATGTATCTTGGGACATTGGTTAAACTACATTGCTAAAAGAAATCAAAAGATTACATTGACAAAAGCAGATGACCCAAATAAAAGCAAAACATATGACCAAAATAAAAGCAATGCCAAAAGCAGATGACCAAAATAAGCAAAACAGATGACCAAAATAAAAGCAATCAAAAGATTACATTGTTTGTCAAAGGCAAAGTACATTGCTAAAACTGGATACTATAATTACACCATTGTTTTTCAAAAGCAATTAACATAACCATCACAACACATAAATTAGTTCAAAAGAAGACAATGTTTGTCAACATCAACCAAAACAATACATAAGCACCTAAAAGCCACATTTATGGGACACCTTTCCCTTTTTTGCTAACACTTGCCCTCACTTTTGCACTTCCATCCTTCACTTTCGCACTTCCAGCACCACTATCATTCCTTGAAGTTTGTGATCCACCAGCCTTCACTTTTTCACTTCCAACCTTCACTTTTTCACTACCAGCACCACCAACAATCTTTGAAGTTTGTGATCCACCAACATTCCTTGAACTTTGAGAACCACCAGCCTTCTGTCCCTTGCAAGTCCTTGCATTATGCCCACTTTTGTTACACTTAGAACATGTCACTGATTTTTGTGCTCTTGACAATTGGTTACCTTTCACCAAATCCTCAACCTCCATGGCAGATCTCCTTCTCTTTTTCTTTGGTCTTCCAATGGGCACATGGTGTTTTGGAGGGAGTAAGGTTGTAGGGCATGTAGACTTCTCCCACATGTTCCTTCCATTGATTGGGTGAATTGTAAAAGAATACATATTCTTCCATGTTTCTAACCAATACGTTCGATGGACCCAATGTTCAGGTATCTTATCAATTTCTTTGTTCTTCAACATCTCCCACATACATGCTATTGCATGTGCACATGGTATCCCTATTAGTTCCCACCTTCTACATGAACATGTTTGTTGGCCCATATCTACCACAAACTGTTCCAAAAGATTTTTACTGACTTGATATTTCCCATTCCCACAAAAAACAGACCTTAATTGTGAAGCCTCTTTCTTCAGTTTTTCAACCCATATGGTAGCTGTAGGAGTCAAGGGACCTACAGCTTTATCAATTTCCTTTTGCACAGTTACAATTTTCTTCACTAAGTACTCTCTAATGTACTCCAAACATGTAATGATTGGTACATCACGACCTTCAACAATCTTGCTATTTAGAGATTCACACATATTGTTAAGCATAGCATCTGTATGAGCTCTACCTAATAAATCATTAAAATATGTATGAGCTATTTAGAGTTTCACACATATTGCACAGCTACAAACTAATGATCTAACATTAAAATCTACCTGTAAAGTGTGAACGAGACCAATGTTGAGGAGGAATGTTTTTAAGCCACTCATACGCATCATTATTAAGTTTTCTAAGTTCCTCCATTGATCGTTGAAACTGTTGAATAGTAGATGCTTTTGCACAATCCCATAGCAAGTCTTTGAATTGCTTTGCCCTCCAATTAGCTTTCATGTTTTCATGGATATGACGAAGACAATAACGATGCTCAGCGCATGGAAACAACTTTGTTATAGCAGGTAACACTCCCTATATAATGGAAAATTGTATTAAAAGTATATCATATATAATGTATTAATTTGATATTCGAATTAATACCTTTTGTCTGTCTGTCATAAACGTAAAATTTGAGTTTGTTCCTAAACCCAAATCATCCCCTAGACAAGTTAGAAACCAAGTCCATGAGTTGGTACTCTCAGATTCCACAACAGCATAAGCCAGTGGATATGTTCCATTATTACCATCAATTCCCTACATAAGTAAAAAATTTACAATTAAAGCACCATCAATAACCTAAAATACAACTTTTTATAATATAAATGTAGTTCATATGAAAAAAGGTTACCACAGCTGAAAGTATTTGTCCTGGGTATGGACCCTTCATAAAAGCACCATCGAGACCAAGAAAGTCTCTTCTTCCAGCAGCAAATCCCTTTTTTAAAGGACCAAGACAGATGTATATGCGCTTGAAAGTTCTAGTTTCTGAATTTGGATTTGGTTCACGCTCTACATCAATCTTTACAGTCGTGTCTGGGTTATGTTTTTGAAGTTCTTGAACATAGTCTCTCAATAGAGCATACTGACCTCGATAATCCCCTCGCACCTGATTGAGAGCTTCAGTTCTAGCCCTAAACACTTTCATCTTGGAAAGTCCCACTTGGTAATCACGTTGCAGTTGTTCTTGTAAAGCACGAATTGGAATAGTTGGGTTAGATTCCACCTGAGTTGTAATCTTTTTGGCAAGAAACTTATAAGTACACGCTTTAACATTCCGAGTTTGGAGACAACGATGTTCTTTGTTGTAAGACTTGACCATCCAGTTTGTATCACGTTTCCATTTACTAGCGTAGAGGCTCCACGGGCACTTCTCTTCATCTTCATTGTTGACTTCTTGTTGACCTTCCCCACTTTTGTCTAAGTTTCCCAGTTTTGGTATTGTCCCCCTACACACAACTCTTACCCTATTCTTGTCATTTTTTTCAAAACCAAGTTCCCTTCTTGTCTCAATAGCATGGACTTTAACTCTTTCTTTAAACTCTTGGGCTGTATTAAAGGTTTGAAGGATATAAAATGGTTCAGCAACATTTGCTTCATCATTCTCATGAGCTCGTTGGATAGCTTTGATGGTCTTCTTTCGTTGACCAACTGGACCTTCATCCGAAGATGATCCTGACAAAAGTACCTCGTTATTTAGTACTTCATTAAGCTCTCCAACTTCATTCTCTTCTTGTACCACATTGTCATTCATACCTCCAACCCACTCTGCATCCATATCAATGTTATCATTGAAATCATTCATGTCAACTTCTACATCATCTAAGATGTTGTCATTGTCAACATAAAAGTCTATATCATCGGACTCACTAGATTTATAACCACTATCATCGTCAAAGTTGTCCCCACTTCCAAATTCTTCTTCGTTTATGTCCTCAAACATCTCCCCACTTTCAAATTCAGACCATGGATCTTCTCCACCCTTGTTACCATCCCTAAATTCAACTTCATTCGTGTGCTCAAATTTGTCCCCAATTTCAACTTCAACGCATGGATTTCCTTTCTTGTTATTATCCCCATTATCAGTTATGTCCATATTGTCATCTCCAGTGACGTCCATTACATTAGCCTCTTTAGAAGCATCCCCAACAACATTTGTCTCCCCAGTATCATACCAATCTAAGAAAAGCCTACGAGAACATGATGGAGGTTCAATAATTTCCTTTATTTGAACTTTTGCTTGATTTGGGGACATTGTGTACGTATGTAATTGGGTTTTTCCATGCTCAATATAGACTTCAATCAACTTATGCTTGGAAATGAAGGTACCCAGATGTCTCACATCCTGATCACTACCCAAAGCAAATAACCCGAAATCTAAATCTGAAAAAGGTCGTTTAAAGTGATAGTACAAAGGTATACCTTCATCAACATAACCTAACTGTTCCATCATTTCATCAATGTCATGCACTGAGAAAGTATCCATGTCGAGTAAGTCTATATACGTTTGTTTTCCTTTGATGTACTTTCTTCCAGGAAATTTGGTGAACTCTCCACCATGGTATAACCTAATGGAAAAGATTGTCGGATGCCCCCTGTGAAATAGCCCACTTCAGATAAGGCTTCAACAAAATCCAAGTTATAGAAGATTGAGAGTGAGAGAATACTTACAGTAACGACGTCCAACATCGATTTCCTCCATATTTGCACGTATACGCCACAGCACCATTGTGTTTTAGAGAAGAAGATATCACGATTAGGGTTTTCTTATCGGAATGTTGAAATTTTTCTGGGTTTTCTGAATGAAAAGATGGAGTACAGAGCAAAATGATCGCCTCTTCGTATACAACATGGCGGTAACACTAGAATATTAAAAAGACAAAAATACCCCTGCGTGCCTTGCACGTGGGGTGTTTTAACGGAGCAATTAGACGGGATGTTAAGTGAGGGACCAGGATGGTTATGAATTTTACCATTACGGATCATCCGAGTTAAAAATCTTGCTCAGGGACTAGGCGCGAAGGTTACCCCAAACCACAGGGACCATCCGTGTAATTTACCCTTTTTTGAATTAAGTTTTGGGCCAAGCGATTTGCACACCAATTTCTTTACAATCTGCCTTTGTTTGCTTTATTTCACTTACACTTTAATTTGTGTTTTTTAAATTAAGTGTTACATATCGATACATTTTGTGTTTGTGTTTTAATATCCTGAATGGATATCGATCGTAGCCTACACTTATTAAGGTAACTAACTATTTCAATTGTCCATATATAGGTAATGTTCTTTTTTTTGTACATATTAAGGTAACTAACTTGTTTTGTTTGTTCACATTTAGGTAATATGACCGGCTATCACCTGTTTTTGCTTATGTGGCATCCACCTGGCATTACGTGGCATGGTTCATATATGGGAAAATGACTTATTAAGGTAACTAACTATTTCAATTGTCCATATATAGGTAATGTTCTTTTTTTTATACACATTAAGGTAACTAACTTGTTTTGTTTGTTCACATTTAGGTAATATGACCGACTATCACATGTTTTTGCTTATGTGACATCCACCTGGCATATGACTTGAATACGTTACACCTACGTGGCACCCACCTGACATATGACTTGTTTTGTTTCTTCTTCCCCATCTTATTCTTCAAAACAACAAGATGAATTTCAAGCTGATCATCCATGTGATTGCGGTTTACCATCTCGTGTGAAGATTTCAAGAACTCCTGACAACCATGGAAGAAAATTTAGAGTTCGTTAAAACTCGATGGTAAATCAATATTGTTGAATATATTGCAGGAGTTCTTGAAATCTTCACACGAGATGGTAAACCGCAATCGATAATCAGCTTGAAATTCATCTTGTCATTTTGAAGAATAAGATGAGGAAGAAGAAGCCATCATCGATCGATCTAGGGTTTAGAATTAGGGGTGGAATCGTATGACACAGTTATAGTGTAATCGAATGAAGACAAAATATGCACCATGCCACGTAGGTGTAACGTATTCAAGTCATATGCCAGGTGGATGTCACATAAGCAAAAACATGTGATAGTCGGTCATATTACCTAAATGTGAACAAACAAAACAAGTTAGTTACCTTAATGTGTATAAAAAAAAGAACATTACATATATATGGACAATTTAAATAGTTAGTTACCTTAATAAGTCATTTTCCCATATATGCACCATGCCACGTAATGCCAGGTGGATGCCACATAAGCAAAAACAGGTGATAGCCGGTCATATTACCTAAATGTGAACAAACAAAACAAGTTAATTACCTTAATGTGTACAAAAAAAAGAACATTACCTATATATGGACAATTGAAATAGTTATTTACCTTAATAAGTTATTTTCCCTAATTATTTTGAAACATACAGTTACGGTCACAAAATGTCAAAATGTATTTCATCTATGGAAATTATGCATTTTGATTCGTTATTCAATAATCCTACTCATTGATTTTCGTCACATGTACTTATCAGCGTTAGGTTATATAATACATATACAGAAATTAGTTTATATTGAAAAAGGTATTTTAAAAGGGAAATTGAGTAATCTAACTATTTTTTTCGGTTTTTTTTTTAAACATAACTTTTTCTTTTTTGAAAAATAACAGGATCTGAAAATCAGCCAAAGCCCAATAGTATATAAATGGGTCCCAAACACAAAAAATCTGGAATACACGTTCCAAAATTAGCAGATTCAAAACACCATCAACCCGTATTTCAGATCAAATTTTCAGCATGAATTCGTCAAATCAAATAAGTTCTACACAGAACCAGCATTTGCATTTGATTTTCTGAAACAAATTATGTATTCCGGAATGGTCCGATACAACTTCGAAATATCCTCTTTTTTTTTTATATTTTTTTTATTTATCCTTTTGTTGTTGTACGTATATGAATGTTATGTAAGTAATTTGTAATGTGTTTCTGATAAGTTGTTTTAGTCTGGAATTAGGTATCGTAGGGCTTCCGAAATGGTAATTTAACGTTGTCCCAAACCTGATGACTTATTCCAAAATGATGATCTGAAATACTTATAAATTATAATATACAATTTTTTTCTAGGTATTGTTTAATAACTCATGTTATTCTAAAGATGAGTTAGCGTTGATGTTAAAAAAAGTGGATTTTACGGACGACGAAGTTGTATTCCATTTAAAGGAGCTTTCAGAATTGCGTCCGATAAAGGTGAAATAAAAAAAAACAATAATTTTAGAATTCTAATTTATTTTTACAGTAATGTATTAAAAATGTTCTTGGTTTTTTTTTGGAAGATAGAAAACGACGATGGTGAGTTTCAAATAAAGATAAAAAATAAACCAACAAATGCACCTATAAAATTAATAAAGAAATCAGAAAATGTGTTAAAACTTAAATTGAAAGCAGATAGAACTTTGAAAAGTTGTAACATCCCCAAAATTCATGACGAAAAATTTCATTTAATTATTAAATAAAACCATAAGTATCAAAACATCCGTCCAGAACATAAGTCAAGTATCTAAAACATCAAAATCAGAGTATTCATAATAATAATAATATCAGAGTAAACATCTCAGACTAAAACATCGTGGTGTGTGCAATGCAGTCATCCCGAGCTCTTCCCTTTGCTACCGGAAGTACCTGAAACCAAAACTGAAAACCATAAGCATGAAACTTAGTGAATTTCCCCCAAACTACTACATACCATACACATAACATGCAACTAGGAGATACGGGCCCCACCCACACTCAAAGAGATACGGGTCCCGCCCACACTTGGATAATAGTCCCCTCCCTATGAAATACGGGCCACCCCCACACTTAGTGAGATACGGGCCTCGCCCACACTCAACTAACTAGGAGATACAGGTCCCGCCCACACTCAGTTAACTAGGAGATACGGGCCCCGCCTACACTCGACTAACTAAGAAACACATATAAGTATCACATAGACAACAAGTATAACCAAAACATAGCAATCCATTCCATATCCATACTCAAGTAATGCTAAGATACGGGCCCTGCCCACATTTAGCTACTAATCAACACACAAAATGAACACGGTCCGTCATTGGTGCCTTCGACCCGTTCAATCTAGGAGGAAACTCACCTCACAAAGTTGGCTGCTAGCTGACAGATTCCCGAACTTCTGATCCTTCGACTCCCCGAACTATCAACCAACAGATAAAACAACATCAGTTTGGGATCCTCATAACTTAACCATAAGTCCTCACTAGGGTATAAGACCATTCTACTCCTCACATACTCTTGTCCCAAAATGGACTCTTCACATAAATCATGGCTCAAAAAGATAATTACACCCACAAGGCCCAATATATGGCCCAATTTCCAATTGGGCCTAATTCTTTCTCATGGGACTTAGCTCATTACCCTAAAATATTTCTTCAACCCATTAGCCCAATTTCTAGGTGGTCCATCTCGGCCCGACCCACTATTCCATGGAAGTGGCCCAAACCGAGGCCCAAGAATGAAAAGTCCACTATGATTGAGTACGCGAGGCGTACTCATCTGTACGCTAAGCATATAGGCTGCATGGCATGTTTGTTGCGCGTACTGGATTGTATGCTCAACGTACTCCTCTATTAAGCCATAATCTTAAAAAGAGCTTAACCCTTTAAGACCTAAAGCTCCAAACACATATCCGAGTCCATTAAAGCGTCTTAATCTATAAAGTCGATTACTTGATGGCTTGCAAACCACCAAATGGGTTCAAACTTGGAATATAACAATCTACTTTTATGAAAACAACCAAAACTCATGCATAAACACTAAGGTAGCAACCCTAAGCCTAGGAATCAGTTTTGAGCAATAAAGCTTCATCCTTAGGACCAAAAAGGTCCAAAAGCTCAACATAAGAGATCTAAGCACTCATGGATCCAGTTCAAGACTTTATACCTTGAAAAGGTCTGAAATGAAGCAATAATCCAGATCTACAACTTCTCCTTTGTACCACTACCTTTCTTTACCTTTACTTCTTTAGAGAATGGATCCAAAGCATCAAAATGCTCTCAAGAGGCCTTACAAGAACAAGAACACACAAAATATGGATTAGGGTTTCGTTAGAGTAGCTTAATGGTGAGAGGGAGGTTGGATTTAGGGCATAATGTTTTTTATATAGGGATCAAACCCTAAATTTAGGGTTTGGGGACTACACACATATGATGCACATACTCTTTAGTACGTTGCGCGTACGTGCATGACATGCGCGATCAATTTACATCAGTACGTTGCGTGTACATGGGGTGGAACCCCTAGCGTACGGCACCCCTTAAGCCCACTTTACAAGGATCCAATGGATCCAAGCCCAATCAATATGAAATAATTAATCCAATACGTAAATAATACATTGGAGAATTACCGAGCGTTACATAGATGGCACCGGAGCAAGTGCAGAAAAACTTGTTATGATAGACAAGTTGCAATTATGTTTTTTTTCCGTTGTGGATATGTTTCAGGAAGTGTTTTATAAGATTATTAAATACTTTTATGCATATTGGTTTTTAAATAGTATATTAATATAATTTATGTATATTCTATTTTCAGTCTCGAAAATCCAGTCACTCGAACGATTAGGATCAGTTGCCTATAGAGTATGCTATATCACGTCTTGAAGACGAGCAACAATGTATTGTTGATATGACTGCGTTAGAGATGTTTCGTGATTATCAACATGCTAAAAAAACTAATGGAAATACTGGAAATCCCATTACCGCCTTCACCGACTGAGGACCGGGGAAAAATAACATAGTATAACATGCAAATGCTCCTTATTACCATGTTTGAAGATATACGACTATTTGTGAACACGATGGACATCATCGAAGAAACGTGTAGGACAAATCCAACAACAGAAGATCGAGTCGAGTTGATTGATAATGGTTTCGAACTAACTGAGACCTACATGAAATTGTTTGAAAATAATGTAAACACGTGATTTTCAAGCGGATGCAAGTTCCCAATTATTAGTCAAAAATGCAATCTAATTTTAAATATGGATACTGTAATGTCTTTTCAAACTGAATTTTGTAAAATGAACAATGTGATTATAAAAAATGACAATTATCCTTTTCCCTGCCCACATCTCGTGAGGAGTCTTGGCAACCTTCTTGGTGGGAACTAAGTTAAGGATATGGGCGGCAGTCTTTAAGGCATACCCTCGGAAAGCTATAGGTAATGAAGCCCGACTCATCATAGAACAAACCATGTCTAACAATGTCCGATTACGTCTCTCAGCCACACCATTCAATTGTGGCGTTCTCGGAGGCGTCAATTGCGAAACAGTTTCACATTCTTTTAGATAGTCGTGACACTCAAGACTTAGGTATTCTTCTCCTCGGTCTGACCGAAGCATCTTGATTTTCCTGCCCAACTGATTCTCCACTTCATTTTTAAACTCTTTGAACTTTTCAAAGTTTTCTGACTTTTGCTTGATTAAGTAGATATATCCATATCTTCTATAATCATATGCAAAAGTCACATAAAAGTGGCAAAGCATCCCTTGTGCTGGATCTAAAGGTCCCACACACATCTTTGTGTATGAGATCCAATAGACCCTCACCCCTTTCACAAGTGCCAGTAAAGGGTGACTTGGTCATCTTCCCAAGTAAACAAGGTTCACATGTGTCATTGTCCCTAAGGTCGAATGACTCAAACACTCCATCCTTTTGGAGTTGGGCTATGTGTTTCTTGTT